ACGAATCCAGTAAATCCTAAGAATCCTACGAATCCCCAGAATCCTGTGGATCCTAAGAATCATCAAAATCCAGAATTTTGCAGATCATTTGGCACAGTATTGGTCACGCTTATTACGTTATCATTCCATTGGTCACTAATGATCGGTGTAGTAAGATCGATTTCAGACGTTGATAATATGATGATCAAGTATAGCAAACATTAAAAGAATCTTTTGAAAAAGATTAACAACATTTTTTAGAGATAAAGTAAATTTAGATTGATGCTGAACTTGGATTGGTTCTAACCCTATAATAGAATTGTGTATAGTATTAGTGTTATTTATGCTACTATATACAATTGCTTTATGATATCTGATTCAAACATAAAATCTATTGACCCTTGGCCTCTTACCTGGGCCAAGTGAAGTCAGTTTGTACAAAATAAATCATTATTTAGTACTAATCGTTGATAAATTGAAATCTCTTTAGAATGGAATAACTATAGATAAAACTTATGAATATCAAGAAGGAAGAACCATTTATGCAACTTAATTCTTGTTTCATGTGATATACTAGCTGCTATAAAAATATGTGATCATATTTCAGCCTTAATATCATATCATAGATGTGAGAAGAAAGCAAATTATGAAAATCGATAGTATAATTTTGTTGGTATAGATGATTTTAATAATTGGTTCTTCATGCGAAATTCAATTAAACATCATCAGAATGCTTTAAAATAGAAATGTTGTAATTCAAATTCTTCACAAAAGTGATTTGTAAAATAAAACTGGTGTAAGATGATCTGAATTATTATGATTACCATATTTGATCCTATCAGATTTATCATAATCGATCTGATGCATTGTTTGTTTTTAGGAATTGCATGATGAATTTGGATTGATGAGGGAATTTTAATATTAAATGCTTTAAAAAGGATTCAGAAAAAAATGAATGAGTTTCAAATTTTATCAGATTTGAGTCAAATTTCAGGTAAAATTTATGAAGAAAAGGAATTTTCTAATTTCACAGCCAATCAATAGTGATTGCTTTTTACTGTTTATATCACTGTATCATTTTGAAAATATCTTTTAGCTGTAAATAAAAAATTTTTACACATTTCGTGAGAATTTGCTTAATTTTAGTAAGCCAAATTTAGAATTAAACCTAGTTTTAAAAGTTCATCAAAGATTAATCAAAATAGCAAAGCTGATAGAGGAGAATCATGAACATAATAAAATCACACTGAATATTCACTTATCTCTTCATTTATACGATTTTTCAATTGATTATGAGTCATTATACGTATTCTGGTATTTTTTTTCGAACACATAAATGGAATATTAGGTAATTCATAATTATAAAAATTTTCCAATTAAATATATTTATTAACTTTTTAAATTTATAATTCTTAGGCTTTTTACTGAATAGCAATAGAAAAATTGAACCTAAACTTATATATTGATTGATGTTTAATAGTCAAATTGGCAGTATTATAAGTTCTGATATTGAGGTAAAAGGGTTTGAATTTTTAATCAATCGACTTTCTATTGAGTCTCTTGGATTTGATTGTTAAATATTTTATAGCAACTTATGAAGATCTTGAATTTTAGGAGCTATTTGACAATGAATCAGAAAATACTATAGCAATTCTGGTCAAAATAAATTAATTCAGAAGATGTTGAATTGGTTCTGAAATATTTAGTCTAATAATGTCCTTATGACATTGAAAAGTTCATACATTTTGACTAAATTTATTACGAATAATAATATTATTGATTGTTATGCAGGTTAAGTTCAATACTGTTTTACTCATACAGTCGATTTACCATATGAACTGACTGAACATTTTCTAGCATATGGGATGAGTGCTAGGAAAAGAAACCAAATCGACAAAAAATTTTTTTTTGAAATAACAAATGATCTGAATCAGATGATCAAATTTACATCTATTTTACTTAGAAACTTTTTTTTAAAAAAAAAATCAATTTGATCTATTTTCCCAGTACTCACCCCATATGTTCACTAGTATCAACCTGCAGGTTTTCCAAATGTTCGATATTATTTTAGCGATGTAGAAACATGTAATATTAAACTATAGTATACCAATTTTTACTTTGAAAGCTGTGATTGCATAATTCCAGTGCATTATATTTTAGGCCAATTTGTATCAGTGAACTATAAGATTTCAACCTGACGAAATGTAAAAGAATATTTAGCTATCAATTTGATTAACAAAAATACCAAATATGATTATTTATTCACAATAAAACTGTTTATTTCGTTCTGAATTGTGATTTTGTAAGTTTATTAACGATAAAACCATTTATTTCATTTTGAATTGTCATTTTATTTATTAACAATAAATCCGTTTATTTCATTTCAAATTATCATTTTTGACTAAAAATAATATAGAATAATTTGACATAAAATAACCATATGAATTGTCAAATGAATTCGTCTGATTTCTGATTTATGCAAATCGGTCATAAATATAATGGTTGATTTTTGAATTTAATCTGAATTGTCCTATAAATGGCAAATGGTAATTTTTTTGATTTCGATCAGTGATAATTAGGTGATATTATAGAGTTGTTTGTTATTCTGTAAAATATGTTAATTGGAAATAGTATTTAATTATAAGAATTAAATTTTATTAAAATTTATACTAACTGCTTTTCTATTATATTCTTATTGGTCATGATTGAAGATGCTTTGCTTTATTTTATTAATTAACTTTTTTTTGGATATATAATTTATTAGATCTTAGTCTAGATATCTTGTAAATGGGCAAGGGTATTGGATTTGTTAACCTAATAGATGATACATTATATATTGCTAAATCACGTGATACCATTACAAACATGAATTCCAATTGAGATCTCCCGTCATGAAATTATTACGTAATAAAAGACTAATTTGGCTCAGCTCAAATGTGTGACAGGTTATGCCGATTATATGGCTTTGGCTTAAAGTATGTGGCGCATTTTTCAAAAAAAGCGTCCAAGTCAAATTTTACTGCAAAAACACAACCCGCCGCCTTAAGTACGAGCAAAAATACGCTTACATATATAATATTTAAGTCTAAATATAATGTTTATTAAGGTTTGGTTTCAAAATTGTCTGTGGCGCAAGTGCCGATAATCATATCGATCATTTCCAAAAATGTATTTTTTCGGCATAAACTGACACACATTTGAGATACAATGATTTGTCAAGGTTGTTACAAAAAAAAAATCGCGATAAAAACTTGTTTTTTTAATGCTAAAAATCCCAATAATCATTTTAAACATTGTATTAATTGTCGTTGCCGATATAAAATGCTAAAAACAATCACATTCTCATTTAAAAAGTTATTCCTCAACAAATTGATTGATTATATTTATTATACTTATGGCTGAGAAATGACGAATGGAGAAAAAATTAAAATGTGAATGGAATAAATTGCAACGAAAGGAAATTATTTATCCTTGACAGATACTGATAAATGGATTTGTCCTTGCAAATATTTTTTAACAACAAATTTATGATTTGCAAGCATTTAATACATTTTAAAGATCAGTTTATACAAATTATTTTAAAAGGAATTTAATGTGTTTTGATAGTAAAGGCTCCAAAATCATTAGATATTCTAATCATTTCGGAGCCGCGACTTTCGGTCGCTTCTATAAATTGTGATAATGATATTAATTTAATTAAATTAGCTCTTAATTTGCAACAAGACATTTTTGAGCCGGTTGAGCAAAATACACAATATGAATTTGAAGAAACAAATAATCCAAATATTAATCTGGGAATAGATGCTGATGCTGAAAAAGAAATTATCACAATTAAAGAACTTGAATAGAACATACAATAAATACATTCTGGTTATAAATTGAAATTTCTATAGCAATGTATTCAAACATGTTCATTAATTTTTTTTTATAAAGAAAATGCTGCGATCTGCATACGTAATCCATTTTTCGTGACACTCCTGGTGATGCTGGGAACGTTGGACAAATCGGTCTTATTTATACAATTTTTTCATTTAAATTATTTTTTAGGATATAATCGTTATTTAATTGTAATACCATTACATCTAATGATTGCTGACGACCGATTTCCTTTTTTAGACCTTGATTCACTTGAATAACTTGTAACAAAACAAGTTTGCTGCGCCCACTATGAATATTTATATAAATTTGTCCATCAAAAACGAGTCACTCCTTCTTTTATTCCTTTATATGAATGAATAATCATAAATGGATAAAAACAAAGGTTTTACCGACCCACCTAATCCGATTTCTGATTTAAAGCCTAGTGGTGAGGATATTGTTAACAGAAATATTCCTGTTATCTCATCAACCATTAATAATAATAGCCAGTCTCGCCAATTGGTTAACGAGTCAAATACTCCATTTCGGAATATACGCAAGGGAAAGCATAAAATAATTCCTAACTCGGATGATTTCGTTGATAGTGATGCCACTCTAACCATGAATAATGACCAACCAATCAACAGCCTTCAAGCCCAAAATACTCAAAATGAGGACGAGAGTAAAAATGCTACCAAAGTACATGATCATATCGCAAGTGACCGTGTCACCAACGTGGATTCTAATACGGAACAACGCCTTGCCAATATTGAATCTGATCCGATTCAGGCTAGATCAAAAGTTAGGATGCGTGAGAATGATTTAGAACGAGAACGACAAGATGTTAAAAAAGTGAAATTGGAAAATGATTTTGAAGATCAACAACTCATTAAAGCGACAGCCGTTCCTGTTCAACCTAAATTAAAGGAATTTAGGATGCGGGAGCACGAGCTAGATCAAGAACGACAAGCGGTTAAAAAAGTGAAATTAGCAAATCATTCTGGTGAAGATTCAAGTATTCAGCAAGGATCTACATCACAAAATGTAGATTCTATTTTAGTGGAGGGTATCAAGAAGGGTTTGGCCATGTTTAAAAACTTCATCATATCTGATGAAGTTACAGAGAATAAAACTGTAGAAATCATTTTTCATGTGCACCTGCCTACGAGCAATCGTTACGAGAATCCTGTTGTTGTAGGTAGTATAGAGGAACTTGGTAATTGGCAAGAACCCAAAATTAAACTTCAGCAATATATCATAGGTATTTCGGAACGTACTTCTTATTGGTATTCACAGCCCATTCACATCCCAATCGAAAGGTTTCAACAAGACGTTGTCGGATATAAGTATGCAGTATATTCGGACGATTGCTTAATATTGGAAGGTGATGGCACGAAGGACAATCGTGTGCTGGGAATTCAACGTCAAAAATTTGATATTTGGAAAAGTAATTCAACTTATAGCATGAATCAAATCACTGATTATATGTTCCTAGATGTCATTTATGAAACAATAACATCAAAAAACATCAAGGAAATTATTTTTGAATATGATGATATCCTAACACAGTATCGTAAATTGACCTTATCCGTAACGAACGTTCAATTTATTAGCAAACATGTATCCGAAAATTCTATTGGTAGACGGCTTTTCTTATGCTTCCTTTTGGGGCATTGTTCTAATTCTCGCGTGAGATTTGAATTGTCAAGAAATTTTCAATCGGTTCCTTTACTTCAAGCCTTTATCGATGTTCAATCAGAAACATTTCCACCTGATAGTTGGCATATTGTGTTTAAAGGTATTGATCATTTAATTCATCACAATATTAATCATGGATTATTCGAATGGCTCGAATTTTTTACCGTTGCACGAAATATCGATCCTCAATTTAAGTTCATTGACACATTAACTTTTGTTAAATGCGACGATGACAAATATATCGAAAAATGTTTTGAAATCATATTTAATCATAAATTTGATAAAATTACTCGTGGAAAAGTATTCAAGGTAATATTTTTAGTATCCTTCTCTTTTTGATCACATTTATTGCACTTATTAGACAATAATATCAATAATTTATTATTATTTTTTTTTTTTAAAAAAAAAATTAATATTGGCTATTTTAGTGGATGATGAATCAATGCAAAAACTTGAATATTTTATCAATCGTTTGGCGATCTTCAGATAAAATTGACAAGCGATTTTTGGTGGAAAAGGTCGAAAAGATTATATCTAAAGATGACCCTGTTGATTTGCATAAAAATTTCACCGAGCTTGCTGATGACACTAGAGATATAGTCGCCGTCCCATTTAGGGATAGGGTACTTAAATTATTAACCAATGGTCGTCATGCTATTTGGGATGACTCCAGATCCCTATCGATTCTTGATCTTTTAAATACTGTACATCTACACTGGACAAAAGATGAATATATTTCTGTATTGGAAACTGTGTCAACATTTGAAGATTATCAGCTATTACGCGCTTTTCCGTCACTATTGAAAAATTGGCTTGAAATTTCAAATATCAATAATAATGGCGTGTTTCCATCATTACTGAAAAATTGGATCGAAATTCCTAAAGAAATCGATAATAAAATAATTCAAATATGCATTCAATGGTACAACAAGCTTTTGGATCGAATGGCATCACCCAATTCGATGGCTCACAAAGGAGAATACGTAACCGAAGTTATTGAGAAATTGTCAAATATCTGTTCATTTGTTAATGAGCAATCTATCTTGAATGCATTGATGGAGATAACGCTGAATCGTATTAGAGAGTCCTCAGAACAATCTATTTTTAATTCTACAGCCAAGGTTGAACAATTTGGTTCAGAAGCGGTACGCGTGTTTACAAAAGTTATTAAAGAAAAGATTGATTCAATGGATCTAGGACACTACGAACTTTTACTAAAGAAAATGCAAGTTATCTGTGGTTGCTCTGACAAAAGTTTAGAGATTCCAAATGAGTAAGTGATTAATTAATCTTAAATGAACATTTACTTGTTTTTTTTAAAAAAAATTATTAATAAACTTTTATATTAAGATTCTGTGAAAAAATCTTATGTTATGTTATGTCTTGTTTGCAAAAGAATCCTTCCAATATTTATTCGCTTGAGTCCGCCAAATTCTGGATTGTAATTTTACGTGCAACTGGCAGTACCAAAATGCTTTATTCTCATCAACTTGTACAAGAAACTAGATCGACTATTCTCGAGTTAGCTGATATGATAAACAACAGTTCTATTACTATTCAGCTTCTCCAGGAATTGCTTAATCTAGATGATGATACGCTTTATTATTATTTAAATACTGCAAACGTTAATAATGTAGAAATCATTACCAAGGATGCATTGGTTAAAGTTCGTCAAAATTGTAGCTCCTATGAACAAAGGTTGAAAAAACTTGATGATTTTTATAAGAGATTTTGTCCGCTACAAAAAACCAAGGATGTGCAAAATTTTCTTGATGAATTGAGAGAAAGAAGCAAGCGACTTAATAACATCTCACTAGAAGAGTCATTATCAAAAGATCATTGGAATTTCCACGGCGAAATTTTGTCAATAGCAGAGAGTACACATGAGCTGAACAAATCTCAAACATTTTACAATGTTTTTGAGAAATCATTAAATGAAGAATATGAATTTTGCGATCTTATAAACGTTGGATTTATAGCACGAACGTTAATCAAGAATGTCTTAAAAGAATATACTGCTAGGTGTAAACAATATAACAAATGGGAAAGCCTCAAATACTCTGAGGAATCGATTTTTTGGTGTAACGTTTCTAATGTTGAAGATGAGCTCAAGTTAATGGAAAAATATGGAAATGCTCGTATAAGTAGAAGTAATGTGCTCATGATGACTTTGGAACTTCTTTCCAAAAACAAGGATTGGAAAGAACGTATTGAAAATATATCAAAGATTCTTGAGATTTTTAATGTTGAAAAAAACTGGCTTAACAACTTATTTAGTCACGGAGATTTAAGCAAATTAAAAAACTCAATTAACACTATAAATCAAAAATTTTCGCAATTCAATTATAATAGCTGGGCTTTTATCAAGGAATTGTCCAGATCTGGTGAATTTGTTGAATTTCTAAGAGGTAAAACGGACGACGATTTGAAAAATTTGATTAATGGTGTTGATGAGCACTCAGATACCAGATTGATTCAAGAAGGCACTATTTCTTCACTTATTCAAATCAAGCAATTTTTGCATCCGTTCATGAATGATCCAAATTTAACTTTGGATACATTAATAGAAGAATTCAACGATGCCATCGAAAATCCCTCATTAACAAGTAAATTATCGTTATGTAATTGTAATGTTATGGCTTTGAAAAATATGTTCGAATCCATCTATAACAAGGGTGAAGTCACAAAGGATAAGATTGAAAATGCTGTAACTGTTGGTACATATGAATTTGTTAAAAATGAAGAAAATGAAGAGTGCATCTTGACGTTGTCATATTCTTTTAAATTACAAACTATGAGGTACAATATGAATGAGTTACAGGACTTACGCAGCAGAGCACTTTTAGTTTCAAAGCCCGGCGTTTCTTTTGGACAAGTTGATGATGACAATGATAACGGAAAAATGGAGGAATTTGTAATGCAAGTTGATATTACTCAGAATATAATTATCATAATGAAAAAATTAACTCAACTAGGTCATTTCGGATATCGAAAATATAACGAATCAGCTAAAGGTACTTATGATTTGGAGAAAATAGCTGAGCGATTGAGAAGAGACTTGGAAACCTGGTAAATATTTTTGGATAATTATTTTTTTTATTATAGGTGTTATTTATTAATACAATTATATATATAACTTGTAGGGAGAAAATTGTTGATCGAGCACAAGAAACTTGTTATTACCTAAATTTTTATCCACCAAGACACATCTTAACATTTTATGACTATTACACGGGAAATGTCGAGCATTTGGAAATCACAAAAACTTGTCAAACACTTGTATCATTCGTCAATCGAAAAGCCAAATTACCACAACTAAATGGTCAAGGATTTCATTGTAATGAGGATGAATACGTTCGAGCTTTAGAGGCAATTAATCATAGATTAGGATGCATATTTGGAACCATTCCAAAACATTCACGATCAGTGAAAAAACCCAAAGAACGCGTAATTTCAGACACAGTGAAACGCGGAGAATTATTTGTCGCGGCTTGTGACAACAAATCGAAAGTCCCTAACATTATAATGTCATTTTATGCTAACCATGGATTTTATCCTGAACCTTGGCAACTTTTGATATGTATGACATCAACCACAGAAGAAGAACTGTCAATTTTTATCAAACGATGCTTTTTTGCATCAAAAAATGGTTATAAAGATCATTTATTTTGCATTGCGAATTTGGAATTATTAGATTTTGAATTACAATACTATCTGGTCAATAAGATTAGATTTTTTACGGAAATGATAAAAGATTATTATTTAGCGTTGATATGTTGTTCTGAAACTGGCAGCGACCATCATATCGTGGACCAGTTTTCTAAATATGTTCACGCTACTGATGGACTTGATACAATTGCAATGAAGGCCATTTATCGCGAATTATGTCCAAAGGTCACATGCGTAACTTCAGAATTATCCGGACTAGGAAAAACACGATTTATTGAGCAGGAGAGTTCTAACAATGACAAAAACTTGGTTTCATTTCTCATTAGTGATGGAGCAAGCTATAATTCACTTATTAGGCAACTTAAAAATTCTCAAATTCAAGATGATGATAGTAGTCTTCATATAAACATAATATCTGCTGATAATCCTGGAGAAGTAAATATATTCTTGTTTCAATTATTGACTCTGGGAATGATTTCAAACAATTCGGATATATCTAGCCTTCCAGAAACCAATATTTTTATTGAAGTAGCTGTTGACCGCTTGATCAACTCCCTCCCATTCCTTAATTGTTTAAACAAAACGAATTTAATATGGAATATTGATAGATTGATGATACCCAAAGATATACATAGCCCAATTCAGGTTGTTTGCCGTTATTTGGATCTTTATGATAGGAATAAGCTCGATAAGCAAGATATTATATTTAGTTCACGTAGCATTAAGGCGCCACTTGATCAAGTTTCTTGTCATCAACTTTTGGATAAATATTTCTTTCAAAGGATTGATTATAATATTCAATCTTTTCGATTTTTGGAGATTTTTGTAAATGTTCTTGCAGATCAATTATTAAGGTTATCAGGAAGTTCTTTCTTCATGGTTAAAAATTTGAAATTTATGACTAAGAATGTTAAAATTCGATCTACATTATTTGAAACATTACTGGCTGTTTCAAGTGATTTTGCTACAAAATCAACCGAAACAAAATTTGCACAATTACAAAATATTCCAGACAATGCCGTTGAAGTGGATCAATTAGAGAATCTTGTCCAATGGGATGATTCTAATCATCTTTTAGTATTTTTTCTGTCTCAATCCCCGGAATCGATAAGGGCTTTATATCGTAGCAAAATTATAGTTCCAACTAACGTTTTAGAATTATTAAAAAGCCAAGGATGGGAATTAATAGATTATCAATCTATGTCCTCGGATGATTTATTAACCATATTAGAAAGTTTGGCTCGAAATACAATGCATACAATTATTTATCAACCATATGCTTTATCGGCGGATAATTTATTGAAAATGGCATTAATGTTATTGAGAACAAGAGCCAAAATTCCAGTAGTTATATGTGGAGAGGCGGGATGCGGAAAGGTACTATATTTATATTTATATTAACTAATGTTTGTTTATTTCTTATCGAATAATTTTTCATAATTTTTATATATCCTTTTATAGACAAGCTTAATTAGTTTTTTGGCCAAGGTTGTGGAAGTAGAATTGGATGTACTTAATCTTCATGCTGGCGTTACAGAAAAAGATATCAAGGATTTCATGAATAAATCCGGTAAAAAGGCCGCAAATAAAGAGATTTGGTTGTTTTTTGATGAAATCAACACTTGCAATCACATAGGATTATTGGCAGAGCTTATTGCTCATCGCAAGCTTGATGGAAAACCAATTCATCAAAATATTCGACTATTTTCCGCCTGTAATCCATATCGTATTCGGAACAGGAGTATCAGTACTGTTGGATTGAAACCAAAAAAGATCACATTCGAACAACGAAGTAGCCTCGTTTATGAAGTTAAACCCCTTCCGGATCAAATTTTAGATTACGTATGGGATTACGGTACGCTTCAATCGAAGGATGAAAAAAATTATATTCAAATAATGGTACACGAGGCGAAATTAGATTATGTCTTTGCGGAATTATTATTTGCATCACAAGATTTTATTCGTAATGTTGAAGAACCTTATAGTGTCAGTTTGCGCGACGTTAAAAGAGCCATTAAATTGGTCGACTTTTTCTATAAAAGTCTTCAAACACGACAAAATGAGAGGAACAAGTATCCCGATGATTCTCTGGATATTTATTTTCGATCTTATATTTTGTCATTGGGTTTATGTTATCAATCTCGCTTATATGAACGTGAGTTAAGGCGAAAGTACCGTAAAACGATGTGTAATATATTTGGAAATATGAAAGAATCTCGTTTTAATGACATAATAAGAGATGAGCAAATGGACTATATGAATAGAATGATTTGTCCACCAAATATTGCATTCAATGAAGCATTATTGGAGAACGTATTAGCTGCTATTGTTTGCATAATTTGTAAAATACCATTATTCATCGTTGGTGCTCCAGGCTCTTCCAAATCACTAGCGATCCGACTTGTACATCAGAATCTTAGGGGTTCTGATTCGAGTGACGCATATTTTAGAACTTTGCCTCATGTATTTTTTATTCCTCATCAAGGCTCATCATCATCTACTTCTGATGGAATAGAAAAGGTTTTTCAAAAAGCCAAAGCTTATCAGAATACAAGTTCTGAGGAATTTCCGGTTATTAGCGTTGTTTTACTTGATGAAGGTAAATAGAATCGCATTTTTAAAGGATTATTAATATGATAATGCATCTAACCTTCATTTCTCAATTATTAGTTGGATTGGCTGAAATCAGTCCCTATAATCCCTTGAAAGTTCTTCACTCATTGTTGGAGCCAAGTTATCCGGCTGATGATCCTGTTGTTTCGGTAATAGGAATTTCAAACTGGCGACTGGACAACAGTAAAAATAGTAGAGCATTATTAGTTCAAAGACCAAACTTTGATTTGGATGATCTTATTGAAACGGCCGCTCGTTTGTTAGATTCTTCCGAAATTACCCATAATGAAGCTTCTCTTAAACCTTTTGCGGAGGCCTATTCCAAATATGAAGAAAATGGACAAGCAGCTTTTCCTAATTTTCATGGACTTCGCGATTATTATGCTCTCATAAAAAGCCTTTCAAACAAGGCGCTTACTCCTGAAAATATTTATTTGTCGTTAACGAGAAATTTTGGTGGTATTAAGGAACTCACCGATGAGTGTTTAGAATATTTCAAACCTGTTATTAAAATCCTAAATGATCACAAAAGTTGGGCCTATGAACCAATACCTATTAATTCTTTAATTAATGAGAATCTTGAAAGTAAAGGTTCTAGACATTTAATGGTTATAGGCAAAAGTGATTCGATTGTGAACACTTTAACATATCAGTTGCATAAAAAGAATTTGGACCCAGTAGTAATATTTGGATCACAATTTCCGGAGGATCGTGATGATTATTCCTATAGTATATTGAGCAAGATCATGGTAAATTTTTAGATTTTTTATTTCTCAATTTGAATATATAATGTAAATTAATTAATTATGTAGATGTGTGTTGAAGCCGGACGACCTTTGATTTTGACTGATTTGGAGAGTATTTATGGTATGATTTGTCAATTTTTCCTTCGACAATATATCTTTTAAATAGAGTTTTTTATATATATTATAAATATATATATTCAACATTGATTTATTTTGTAGGGAGTCTTTACGATTTATGGAATCAAAATTATATAACAACGGGTAGCTCCGATAATCCTAAATATTTTACTCGGGTTGCTTTAGGGGCGTACGCGAATCCTATGTTGTAAGTTATATTTATTTAAGAAAATATATGCTAGCGCCAATCTTTTTTATGATTAAAATTTATCTTGCCTTTTTTTCTTTCTTACTTTAGACATATTCATCCTGATTTCAGATGCATCTTGGTTCTTGATGAAAAAAAGTTAAAAAATGCGGATCCTCCACTTTTAAATAGATTTGAAAAACAAAGGATGACAATAAACGATATCCTTAATAAAGATGAAAAGGAATTAGTCAATCAGCTGCGAGAATGGACGCGGCAAATGTCAACTATGGCTGGGGCGGCAGGAACATCATCTTATAATAATTTTATTATAGAGGATTTATTTATTGGCTTCAATAAGGAAGAAACATTGCAAAGCTTAATAATAGATATCAAGAAAAATGAACCTATGACGAGAAATGGAGAAATACTCAAAAAATGCAAAGAAAACTTAATCGCAATTTCTACATCAGATGGAATGGTTCGAATTGAGAGGTCTACTTTGGATTTTGAAGAAATTCAGCATTGGAAAAGTGTTTATTTCCAAGTTCAACATCATAATGACATAGCAGATTATTTTCAAGATCTGTTACACGGACATAATGTGAAAATCAATCAAGATGGCCATATGGTCATAATTAACACATTTTCCAACATTAACACTGACGTCAATTCCTGCTTAGAAGGAATAACGAGATGTTATGCTTTGAAACTTTCAACATTTAAAACCGAATCTCAATTTCAAAAACAAGTGAACAGATTTTGGTTTGAGTTGGATGATGATTTCTTAATATTGCAATGTGATATCTCTATTGTAAATGCGGATTGTATCAAATTAGCCAAGTTTGTTATCGAACAATGCCGGAACGAGTATTTACAAAAACAACGAAAGTCCAATGCAACGAACGTTAAACATGCTTGCATTATTCTTCATACCCATCGAGAAAATAACGCGAATGTAATTTCATTCAACTTTATGAGTGGTTGGAAACAAATCACAATCGAATCATTGATTAAACAAAAAAGACCATTATCTGTTTTAATGAAACACAGTTTATTTGATGAAATTATGACAACTTGTCCGTTCGAGGATATATTGAAGCAAGAATTGATATGGTGTTTGATATGTACGAAATATCCAGACAATGTTAATTCCATTAATCATGTCAAGTAAGTACTATTCCTTCTGAAATTTTGACTGCATCAAAGAACTTTAATGTTTATGATTCTTATTGTTCTTATTTAACTAGATATTTGAGCGAAAGCATTTTAGATCATCCAAATTTCATAGAATGTTTAAAAATGAGAACGCTAGAGTGGTTAAAAACAAATGCCAAACCTGATTGGCAATACCATGTCGCGTCCAACAAGAAATTATTATTTCCACATTCTTCGTTTGCAATGGCATTACAAGCATATACCCGTTCAACAATTCGTCATCTTATAGCGAAAATCTTATATACTCTGGAACGCCTAGGAGCTACAAAGTCATTCCTTATTCATGATTTGCCAGAATCTCAAATATCACCACAAAGTGATCAACTTCTTAACTTCTGGAAAGTTATGTTTAATGATAACAATGTAATCAATTTCAACTCATTGCCGGAGCCAATGCCAGACAGATATAAAATGCCCGTTAGCGTTTTTGATTTACAATTTCCATTTTCATTTTACTTTATGAAACAGATTGATAGTTTCAGAACTCTATATGAAGAGGAAATGTCGATACTATGTGGAAATACAAAAAATATAAGTCATGATATTTATGAAGGATATATTCAAGATTTTTCCAAAAAGGTCTTTAAATCTATAACTTTCTTGGATTCTTCTCCGTTGTTAGATGCCTCAGGCTTATATTTTGATGATTTTCTTAATGTAGTTTATAGCAGTGAAGCAAGAGCTGAAACTAATGTGTCCGTATTATCATACATTTTCAAATGTAAACTAGGTAGAGAGAATATCACAAATCCTATTCTTTTGCATATATTTTGGTGGAAGAATGCTAATTCAACCTTAGCGGCATTTCAACTCATTCACAAGTGTCCTTCGATGTTCAATGAAATTATTATGAATGAAGATGGACTATCATATGCGGAAAATTTGGAGCAACATATCGTGAATGAAATTTCTAGTTTAATGCTTAAAAAATTTTGTAATGGTCAAGAAATCGTTGAATTGCAACTCGAAATTAGAAACGTATTGAATCTCTGCGACAAGCTTTCCAACTTTAAAACGACAGAATCTTTTCAATTGTTACAATTTTGTAATGATCTATTATCAAATGGATTGATACCATTGGAGATTATTAAACAGATTGTTGAGACTAAAGTTGATGACAAATTATTTTCACCAATGTATATTTACAGAGTATTTAAAATTCTTAACAGTGTTAAAGACATAGAGCCAAATATCATCGTATCATTTGAGCAATCTTTTATCATGAAGAGTCTGGAAATTGTTCCATTCGATTCACCTTCTAGGTTAGAACTTTATCACACTTTATTCTTGGAAGATCCCTTCCCTCTTATGGGAAAAATCATTAAATGTATGCTTGAAGAAGAAAATAATCATATTCCGTTTGAATTCTTCACATGGCTGCTAGACAATCCTAGAAAAACGTTAGATTCAACATCATTTGGAATTATCAATACGTGCCTTGAGGTCAAGGGTTGCCACTCTTCAATGGCAGCTTTATTCTGTGATGTTATACAGAAAACATACTTTGCACGGTACAATCTGATGGAATTATCACCTTATTTCCATTGCGCAATTAAAGCCTTAGATAATGATCATGTTGAAGAATTACGTAAAATTACAGCGATTGCATACTTCAAAGAATTTGTTCACAAATTTTGGAATGCCTTGATTCAGGATAACCCCTTAAGACCGGTTTCATTGAACTTCAAAGGTCTTAATGCTGAATTTATGAAATTAATTATACAAATTAATGGTCACATGAACTTACCTTATAAATTAATGTATTCATTAAAACTTTATTTTCTACGAGAACTACGCGATAGAGAATCTTCGATGGGTGATATCAAAAAATTTTGTCAGGCTCAAAAATCTACTCTACCATGGCTTCAAGCTTTACCTTGGGATGATAATCACGAAGCCCCATTACAGTTCAATGTTTATTATTCTTTTGAAGATTATCATGCCGTTGAAGATTGCTTCGTATTTATTTATAGTTATAATAATCAAGAAAGGTTTGATCAATTATTTAACAAAATAAAGAATAATGGATCAATAAATTCAAGAATTTCACTTATGGGAGGTATCCTTAATCGTCTTCATGTTATAAGAACAACAAGAGGATGGAATCACGCAGAGAATCAAACAGCAAACTTTTTGAATGAAAAAATCGGGAATATAAGCCCTTTATCCAATATATACAAAAAGACTGTTCACAATATTATCACAAACCAGAATTCTGTATTGCAGCTTAATACGAAAGTTAGTAAATCGGATTTATTAATTAAATCGGTCATTGGGCACGTTATAGCATTGCACTCGTCTATTCCTGCGAAAGCATCAACACTAGCGAATTTGTTACAAAATTTGGGTCATTGTAGTGGCCTGTTTATTCCCACTTGTGCGTCAGATGTAGAATATATGATATTAAATGCTATTTTACGGGAGAGCGGTAACTTTACACGGTAAGAATTTTTTTTTTTTTTTAAAAAAAAGAGAATATGTTCAAACGCATTTTAAATTATTACTTTAATAGATATAAATGTAGATGCGGCTATATTTATCTTATTGGTAATTGTGGATTAGCCAATGGGCGAGGAAAATGCCCCGAATGCAAAAATTCTATCGGTGGTGTAAATCATAGGTCAGACGCGGGAAATTTGAAATTAGATAATATGCCAGTTCACTCAACTATCAATGGAAAAGAAGAAAAGGGATATATTGGGGAAGGCTTAAATAGGGATATCAATCACAACCTTCGCAATTTATCTCCTACTTCATATAGGATTCTTCATTTGTTTGTTCATTCGATAATTGGAGCTTGGGCACCTTCGGACACTGCTACTACATTTATACAAAAAAATAATAGACTTGAAATTGCAAATGATAGTGTGGAATATTGTATGGGACATATTAGGAATGATTGGGGAATTCTATTAAACCTTTTGGATTGTTCTGAAGAAAATCTAGCCTTCTTGTTACACGCAATCCTTGATAGAATGTTTCAAACTCCACCAAGAAATGCAACCTTGAAGACACCTCACGAGCGTAGAGAATGGGAAAGTCATTTCTCACAAGGCTATGTTTCTCCTTTAATTAAAAATATTACAAAAACAACTACCGAATATCGTGTAAAACTTGCCAACCTTCAAGGAAATTCGAGCATAATCGAAAAGGAAATTGATCAAACAATACCAATGGATGAGAAATATATACATGAATATTTACCAAGGCTTTGGAGGTCTATAGGAACAATGAGTTTTCAAGGTTTTCGTGCTTATTACAATTCGGATTTAGAGAAGCATGAAGCGCGTTTTCCTTTTATCTCAGTATTCTTCAAGTATCTTGATAAATTAGAAAAGATAAAATACCTTTGGCCGATAGTGAATTTTGTTCAAATAATATCATCACTCCTTGAACATCGTACGAGTCGAGAAATGGCACGAGAACAAACATTTCAGCAATTTATAGACGAAGAGTCTAATGATGGAAAATCAGAAGAAAGATTGAAATTCTTAACTTCAAATTTCAATGACTTTGCTAATGCATGGAATTCGGTTATTGATGATGTGAATCATTTCCAATGCCACGAGCTTCAAGAACCAAAACCGGATATAAATTTGACATCTCCAATTGCACTTGCTTTAATCGAGCCAAAGGATTCGGGCGTGTACCTTTGCGCCATTTTGGAATATTTGATTGGGTTACAAAATAATTTCTTACAGGAAGTATTAACGATTCCTATAGGATCTACTAAATCACTTAAATTTATGGAAGAGCCTTATTTTATTCAGGAAAACACCGTTTTATCATCATCTTCAAGAGCATATCATGCTAATTCAGCAGAAAGTACTACTCGTTACTACCTTCAATCCCTTAGAATTGATCAAATAAAACAAAGGAATTTCATAAATTACAGGTGGGATGATGATACTCTCCAGAATAATAGTTATCGTAACCTTGAAGTAGGATGTGGTCGGGTTATAATTTATGATTTACAAAAGATTGAAATAGAGCTTGCTCGTAGATTAGTTTTTGAAAAAGTTCATGTAGATACTTTGAATGATTCACAAGCATATATGGAGCCTTTCCCTTATTACATGGAATTATTTCAAGGACATATGAGAATTCTTGGTGATATCAAATCTTCAATCCATCAACAGAAAATTCCAACTGACAAGATTCCACTGATTATGGGCGTAGTACAAATGACCAGCACTTCATATTCATTATCTTATGATGACGCATCTGAACTTCTATCTTCATTAGAAATTTTGCTTGGTTTCGTAAAACGTACATCGGTTGGAAACGAAGAAACAAAAATTCTTGATTATGTTAATCAATGGATGAGATTATCCGTATTATTAAAAAACAAATCATTCAAAAATTTATTAAACACCGGATTATGTCTCAAACATTTAATAGATCTGTATGAAATGATCGAAGAACAAGTTGCAAATTCTGTGGTAAAATATATAGATGACAAATTCAAAGTTGAACTCACGAAAGAAGTGCAGGATGAAATTGATTCGACTGTTGAATTCGATCGTTCTTCAACTAATAAAAAACGTATACCAGCAGAAGTATTTGTCCTTGCATTAAAAAGATTTATGCTAAGATTTTTAAAGAATTTTGATAAGGATCAAGTCCCATTAAGCTATTATATAAAAGATGAAGGGCTTAATTTGTGGCCGGCCGAAATTTCGGATGAATTGTTAGAAATATTTCCGGAATCCTTATTAGTATGCCATATTTATGCGGCATTTGTATATGTATCAAGGTAAAAAAAAATTAAAATATTGTATATTGCATTTTTTTTTATTTTTATTTTTTTTCAAAACTAATAAATTTTAATATTGAATTTTGCAACAGGAAATGAATAATAAATACATCAGTTGGAAATTGGAATATTTTCTCAATGAAAAGAAATAACTCATTGTATTCGATTTATTTGTAACTTAGAATTATATATAGATATATATGTTTTCATTAAAGTTTAAATAAGATCACAGATGAAAGAAAGTCACCCATATATCTAATTAATAAATAAAAAAAAATAAAAATTAATTTTATAATATATTAATTAATTTGAATTTAATATTATTTCTAACTTACTTTATTGAATCAATTCATTGAAAAACTCGTGAAATCCATTTAATTTTGAAGATAGTAATGATCATCATATGGGGCCTTTGCAATAGAAAGGGGGGAAACTGCCGGAAAATTAAAAAATGAGTTAATGCTAAATTTGAACATATTTCAGCCTAAAAATCATATTTGACGTATAAAGTAAAATTGATTTTTTCCGGCAGTTTCCCCCCTTTCTATTGCAAAGACCCCATATGATCCACCTTGTTATATGATTTGCAATCTTTGTATATTAGTCTTGTAAATATGTAAAACATTAAATTTTTTTTTTCATAAAATTTACATTACCTACATTATTTTTTTTTGTATTTTGTTGGTCTTGTATTTTCTTCCAAATTAGCCCATTTAGATGGTTTATTACTTGCACAACGATAATGTTTACAATTTGAATGTAAGAACTTTCTTTTGTTTACCCGTAAAATTATTCTCATGACAATCTATATTATTTCAACTTTGATAATCGAATCTGTCATATGAAGAATAATTTTGTATGAACTGTTTATCGGGCGCGAAAACCTATCTTCCATCTTTCTATTTTCTACTTATCATTCCAAATTTATCTCTATAATAACAATTAAAAATTCTTTGTATTGGTATTTCAACTTTATCAAATTAAAAAAAAAAATAACGACACCTCACTATCATGTTACAAAAGCGTAACTTTTCCTCTATCAATCCTTTTTTTTTTATTTATTATATCGTGTAGATTTATCGTTAAGTAACAATTAAATGAAATTTGAAAAACAAGCGTGGCCAGACATTTACATAACATGATCCATCAAATCCAAATTAGTGACGTAAAAACAAGTTTGCATATGAAACATTAACTTAAAGAAACACAATGGAAATTCCTTCATCGCATTGCATAGTATAGAATGTATCTAAGCAAATTAAGCTACTCCCCATGAAAAAATTATCAAAGATTGCAAAATCGTCTTGAAATAGGGAATGGGAGAACTTGTCAAAATTATTTTATATGCGATTGTTTCTGTAGAAATCAGTTGATATGCTTCACGATTTTTTGCCTCTGATCTAAAATCTAAAATCGCATCAAAATTGAAATTCCAAAATAAATTCTACTTGAAACTTGCATATTTATTTTTTTGAGAATAATCGGCGTAAATTATCTTATAATTCTAACCGGAATTCATACAAGTTTTTACAGAGCCGATCCAAAGTTAATTCGTTAAAATTACCTTTTGTGGTAACTTTTATTACTTTTTGTTAATATTCGTAAACTGAAATTTAATAATTGTAATTCTTTAATAGCAAAACTGTCATGTGAGATCGATTCAAGAAATAATAAATCCAACAATGGATAACATTTAAATACTAAACGTCCGGTCAAAGTTCGTTGTTATAACCATTGCATTCCTGGTGGTATGAAGTAGACCCTGAATAATTTGAAGAAATTACTTGAACCACATTATTCAAAATTTAAAAGACGAGATACTGGTAGTTAGACAATCTGTTCAATGTCAAATTTATATGAAATGACAGTCTTCCTGAAGATAAACAGTAAATGAGGATAATAACATTAAAATTCATCTGTATTTGTAATTTGACCTGAGTGATCCAGAAAATAGCTTTGTTATTTCATTGCTATATGATTATTTTAAAGTTAGCTTGTTACCTGTGATTCATGTAATAGGATTCTTCTTAATTCTTGACCTATAAATATTTTATTATCTGACATTCACATCCTTCCCTTAATACATTTTTAATCTGTCTGGAAATATAGAATAGATGTTATAGTTATTCCGAATGAGAAACATTTCCCTGGAATATACAGTATTTGTTAACCATACTATATCGGTATGGATTAAATCCAACCAAAATTTAACAAACATTAAATGATATTTAGCTCATTAGCTTTTTCTTATTGAGATAATCAAAAGATTAGTATTTTTATTGATATGGATATTTTAATATAGTATGGATGGAATTATTACATATAAGGTATGGGTAACAATTATAAATATGTATTTTAAGTTATGATTTAATTTATGATTTTTTTTTACATTAATATTTTTATCAAAGGTAATCCACATGCAAGAATCATTTGTGAAGGTTCTAATCTAATAAAACAGAGCATTGGTCAGTTGATTCACAAATGGGGCGAATGCTGAGAAAAGAGACCAAATTATAAAAAAAATTAATCAATGTTCTGAATCAGATGATAAAAGTTACATCTAATTTACTTGTGAATACCAAAAAAAAAAATAAATAAAGTTTATTTTCTACAAGAGTTGAGTTTCAAGAAGTGAAATTTTTTACAGAAAATTACAAACATTTAATTCTAATAAAACCTTTAATAAGAATTAGTAGTTCCAAATTTAATAATACCCAACTTATGAAAATCTATAATTACTCTCTTACTGGCTCTTCTAATACCGCAAAATCCAACAATAAACAACGAAAGTGTAATTTTCGGTGTACGATACGTCCATCTTTTAAAAACGGGCGCCAATGCTATTGAAAATAATTGGTGTTCCAAATCACCTACATAATCCATGTTTAACTCGTGAAAATATTTAGGTGAATAATCTACGATAATTTCTATTAATCTGCTTTCGTCTAGATAAGTAGAACCACACAAAAGGTAAATGCTTTCTAATTGTAGGCAACCTTTTAAAATCATTTTTAATGTTGCAGATTCTTCATCTTGAATGACGGTGCGTAATGACTTCAGATTTGAACAAAATTTTGCTACAGCCAAATTCAATGAATCGTCATTGGTATTATGAAGATCAAGTTCTCGTAAATTCCTCCCACTATTCTCTAAGAATGTAGTTAAAGGTTTAGGAATCAAAACATTATAATAAAATTTTAAGATTTGCAAGTTTGGAAGGGATATGTATTCCATATCTTCAAACCCTTCGAAACGAAATGATAATAAAAGTTCTTGTAAATTGGTGAGTTTAGAAATAAACGACAAAGGGATAAGATATCTTCCTTCCAAGCGTAATTTGGTTACAGTATCATTAAGGTTTGTTATTAGAGGAGGTACATACATAACATCATTACATTCATGCAATATGTCCAAGTACTTTAAATTTCTCTGAACAGAAATCAGGTCCGTTAACCCATTTGAGATAACATTTTCCAAAGTGATACTTAATGATTCTATATTATGACAGATTTGTGACATGTGATAGAAAATTACTGAATCGATATTCGAACTACAAACAAATTCCGTAATAGTACTCAAACTTTCTTTCGCTCCAGGATAAGTGGTGATCGGTATATTTGGAATGAGAAATCTTCTAGTAGAAAATTCTAGTTTTTTCAAAGTAACTTGACCCATGAGCATTTTATATATCTCTTGCGAGACTACTAAATTTTTTCTATCGTTGGGTTGTTGATCTTTAAGCAATCTGAGAATTCCATAAACAGTATCGTTCACCGAAAGATTTTTGATGAACTTTATATAATCAAATAAAGGAGGTTTCGAAGTTGAGGTTGATATGATGATATCATTCTCGCGTAAAATTTCTTTAGATTCATCAGGAAGATAACTGGTTATAAGATTATAATTTTGAATATTTCTCCATAATATTCGAACGGAAACATCACACCAAAGATGATTGACTAATGAACATGATCGTAAATCCTTTTCTTTTAAGTTTTCAAAAATTTCATTTAAACAATCATATGGGAGATGACAAGGCATTTTATAAAAAAAAAAAATGGTTAAAAAAATTTTTCTTCGGTTTTAAAAATAAAAATAAATAAAAAAAAAATTTTTTTTTTCGGGTTTTTTTTTTTAAAAAAAAAAAAACAAAAGATGTTATATCGCATATTGTGGAACGTCCGGGATATATTTATACTTTGGAATACATTTTTGGAAATGATCTGCGCATGCGCCACAGAGTTTTCTAAAAAAAAATAAAATAATAATTTTGTTCTTCGTTAGTTTACTTAGTCAAATGAGGTTTTTTATTGTGACTTAACCATGTTTGCAAACCATATGTGGGAAAAGGACCAAATTGTAAAAAAACTTTTTAAAATAATTAAAGTTCTGGATCAAATGATAAAAATTGTATCTATTTTACTTAGAAATAAATTTTTGAAAAAATTCAATTTGGTCCTTTTCTCTCATATATCAGACGTGACAAAATTCAAAAATTGTGTTCAATAATGAGATTGAGGGTGGCAAATTAACGGTTAATTAAAATTGACCGGTTAATTGACCATAATATATTTATTTGTGTTCCTAAACCGGGTAAATTTTATTGGATGAAATTAGTTGATTATATATATATATATTTTTTTAATTTGTCAGACTAAATTTCCTATTTATTTATTTTCAGTTTCTAGAATTTTTGAAAAATCCGGAAATATTTCCAAATACCTAGACCAGTGATTTTAATTTTAAATATTTTAAATTTAATTTTTTTAAATTTTTTTTAATTTTAATTCAAATTAAAAAAAATTTTTTATATTTTTTAAATTTTTTTTTTTGTTTTTAAGTTTTTTTTATTTAAATTTTTTTTAATATAATATATATGAATTTTTTTACTTTTTAATTTAAATTTTTACATTAAATTTTTTGATATATTATTATTTATTTATTTATAATTTTTTTTAATATTTTTTTTATAATTTTTATATTTTTGTAAATATTAATAAATTTATTAAATTACAAATCATTATTTTTAATTTTTTTTCAAATTGTTATATTTATTATCCCTTAAATCGTAGGGTTTTGCAGGCAAATTTGCCTGCTTATTTATTATAAATTCTCTTCTGATTTACTTTTATAAATAATTAATACTTTTTAAAATTTTTTTTTTTAAATTAATTTTTATAAATATATAATAAATTATAGTAAGTTTTATCTTTTAATTATATATTAAAAAGTTTAAGATTACTTATAAGCTAAAATTTGTAATTTTTTAAAAAAATTTATATTAAAAAATTTCATGATTAATCTATGATAAACTTTTTAGGATTTACTTTTAATTATATTAATTATAATAGAATATTATAAAATTACTTATAAAGTAAACATTTCTTATTATAATTTTTATAAATTATTAAAAAATTTTATGACTTTAATTAATGATAAAGTGATTCAATTAGTATACAAACATAAAAAAATTTTAAAAAAATTATTATAAGAAATTATTTGAAACTTAATTTTAAAATTAAAATATTTTAAAAACCTTTTAAAAAACTTAAAATCTTTGTTAATAAAGTTAATAAAATATATATTAAACTATATTTTTTATATAATAATGATATTACTAAAATTAATATTTAATATTTTATAAAGAAATTAACTCTATTTTTTACTTTGTAGACAAATTTGCATACTTTACAGTTTAAGATATAAGATATTATAAAACATTAACAAAATCAATTGTCTAGATAAATTTATGATTTTAATGTAATAGATATTAAAAATGAAAAACAATTAAATATAAATGTAATCAATTAATATTTTAAATTAAAAATAAACTTATCCAACTTAGTCTGATTCAAACAAAAAGCAAAAGTTTTAAACTTCAAAATTTATAATGGAAGCATTGAAGTTATCACAAGCATTAATACTGAAATAAATACTGTTAGATATTTTTTAGTTACTAAGCAAAATTATAAATACAGTCAAACCTTGATATAGCGAACCTTTGATATAGTGAATTTTTAAATCAAATATATTAAAATTACCCTTACTATAGTGAACTAACCAATTAAATTCTTTAAAAAATTCGTTATAAGCTTATAACGAAGTTGATATCCAGATCCTAGAATTCGTTATATCAAGAGTTCACTGTATAAAAATCAAAATCAAAAATCAATTACTTTAACATTAATGTAAATTCTTTTAAAATTGCTATACCTTGACTGTTTATAAAACTCTAGGCCTCATACTAAATAACAAATATTCTTAAGTGGATAAGCATAAGTAATCCTTTTAATTGAAATAACATTTAAATTAATACATTTAAAAGAACTTTATTATAGATTCAGAAATGATCAAAGAATATAAATGTCTTGAAATTATAGCAAACAGCCCATTACCTATATAAAAAAAGAAACAACATAACAAATAATACAATTAAAAATAACAAAACCTAAAAAACATCTATTATCATACTTTCTTTATTAGTATTAATAAAACAGGCAAAATTTATCACGTGACGAAAGATGGATCATTACCCCATATAGTTTTAAAGATTTTTTTTTTTTACTTTTTAAACGATTATCATAAATAAAAAGTTTTATTGTATCGTAGTGATCACTAATTATTTTAATTATTTTGTGATTTAAAATATAAATTTGTTACACATATATAAGATATATTTATTCTTAGGAGAAATCAACTTTTGCCACGAGTTTACATTTGCATTAAAAGTTACACAGCAAATTTAGCATAAAGATAATTGGTCAACTCTTGATTCTAAAATATAAAAATTTTGTCCTGTATAGAGAGCAAATCTACAAAATGGCTCCGTTACGCTCATTCCTTATTAGTTGTATTTTAATACTCATCATATCAGCAAACACATTTGCATTTTATTTGCCAGGTGTTGCTCCTCGCGATTATAGAGACGGCGATGAAGTAGAAGTGCATGTTAATTCCCTCACACCGATGATGGGACCCACAACACAGCAACTTAAATCGGTTATTCCTTACGATTATTATTATAACCCTTTCCATTTTTGCCAGCCAAAAGAATTAAAAAGCCAACCCGAATCATTAGGAAGTATTTTATTTGGTGACCGTATTTTCAGCTCTCCTTATCATGTATGAAATATTTAATTCTTCTCTCATTTATTTTTCAAATGCATAGTTTTAATCAAATATTACTTTGATGAAAATCAAAATAATATGATTATTAAAAAGCTTTATGTATTTGCCAATCTTTTCTTTTACAAAAAAATTAGCTCAAAATGAACGAAAACAAAACGTGTGAATTTCTTTGCAAATCAACGGTACCCGCTGAAGATGCCCAATTCATTAATCAGCGTATACGGGAAAACTATGCGATTAATTGGCTTATTGATGGACTTCCAGCTGCTAGTAAAAAAATTGATACTAAGACGCGTACTTATTTCTACAGCATCGGGTTTGAATTAGGAGAACAATCTACAACCTCACCTGAACCATCTTTACATAACCATTATGATATTACAATTCAATATCATATTCAAGATAAGAACAAATTTCGAGTTGTCGGTGTGATTGTAAAACCAGAAAGGTATTACTACATTCACATTTTATGTATACTTTTGGGTTAGCATAAGCTCTCACTTATTAATATTTAATTCTTTTTCTAACAACAGTAAAAAATATACATCACAAGCTCTTGCTGAAACATGTGAACCTACTGAAAAATTTACTTTAAGCGAAACTGATTCTAACGAAGTATTTTACACTTACAAAGTAGAATGGATTGTGAGTACTTTTTGCATACAAATATGAAAGGATTTTTTTTCTTTAGCTACTTAGTAAATTCATTTTGTTATCGATTTTCATTTAGCCCTCTTCAACCGCATGGGCAACACGATGGGATAATTATTTACATACTTTTGATCCAAGAATTCATTGGTTCAGTTTGGTAAATTCAATTGTCATTGTGTTGTTCTTGACAGGTATGGTTGCTATGATATTACTTCGTGCTTTGCACAAGGATATCTCTCGATATAATCAAATTGAGGCCCAGGTATTTTACACTATTTGATTTATTCTCAATTACGCGTCTAATTTTATCATCACATTAAATATGTTTGCAATTTATAGGAAGATGTTCAAGAAGATTTTGGATGGAAATTGGTTCATGGTGATGTCTTCCGTCCTCCAGCAAACGTCATGTTGTTGTCTGTATTTTTGGGAAGTGGAGCGCAGTTATTCTTTATGACTGCTGTTACTCTCGGTTTGTATTAAAATTTTGATTAGAAATAGAATTTATTAATGTTTATTTATTATTTATTTATTTATTTATTCGTAAAAATTTATTACAGTCTTTGCCGTCCTTGGTTTTCTTTCACCTTCAAATCGTGGTTCTCTTGCTACAGTCATGATCATATTTTATATGCTATTTGGTTCTATTGCTGGATATGTTTCTGCTCGTGTATACAAAATGTTTAATGGCGATTCATGGAAAAAAAACGTTTTTATAACAGCTTTCTTATTCCCATCGTAAATGATTATTTATTTGTTTTTAATGAAAAAATTTCGAATGCTTTTTAATTCATCGGAAGCTAATGCCAAGAAAAAAATTTTTATTTTATTCTTTATTTTATTTACAATTATTTGCAATTCAGACTTATTTTCACCATTTTCGTCGTTCTAAACTTTTTCCTTGTCTCAGCCAAGTCTTCTGGTGCAGTCCCTGCCACCACATTATTAGCCATAATTGGGTTATGGTTTTTAATATCTGTTCCTTTATGTTTTATCGGTTCATTCTTTGGATTTAGGAAACCTGTATGTAATAATATATTTGTTGAAGGGAAGCAGAAAACAAAAGTATTTACTTATTTCTTTTATTTAAATTTAGAAAATTGAACATCCAGTTCGCACTAATCAAATCCCACGGCAAATACCCGATCAAGTATTTTACCTACGACCAATTCCTTCCATGCTTATGGGAGGTGTACTTCCGTTTGGTGCTATCTTTATTGAATTATATTTCATAATGAATAGTATCTGGGGAAATAAAGTTTACTACTTATTCGGATTTGCCGCTTTGGTATTTGTAATTCTTACCATCACATGTTCGGAAGTCACAATCTTATTGTGTTACTTTCACCTTTGTGCCGAGGTTAGCTTAAATAATTATCGATTTCCTTTTTAAATTATTTCGTATGAAGTTTCAGGCTTATTTATTTTATTTTCTTTGTCCTCCTTATTTACCTTTTTAGGATTATCATTGGTCTTGGAGGGCATTCTTAACATCAGGGGCGTCTGGATTATACATCTTCATCTATTCCATTATGTATTTTGCAACTAGGTTACAAATTACATCTTTAACAAGCACCGTAATATATTTCGGATGGTCAGGAGTCATGAGTTTAATGTTCTTTGTTCTTACTGGTAAGCCTATACTTTAATCTCTCTTTTTTTTGGTGGATCATCGTAAGTATTTCTAATATTTTATTTCACGCATCATCTAGGGACAATTGGTTATTTCGCATGCCTTGCTTTTATCCGCAGGATTTTTATGAGTATCAAAGTTGATTAAAGAAAAAAGATAACGATAGCAGTTCAAGATGTTACATCAATGAAGTTTGTGTTACAAATGTTACAAGCCACAATATAGTCGATTGTGACAGAATATAATTGTATTTAGATGTTGTACCTAAATCTTTTTTGTACTTTTCTTTTCTATATTATACGGGGAGATTTTAATATTTATATAGTTGACAAGTTATTTTAAAAATTATTGAACAGGTTGACCTAGATATTAATAATAATATAGTTTGATAATCAAATTTTTTTTATTTTGTATTTTTTAGATAAATTTATTTTAACATAAGATATAAATAAAAATTTATTAATAATAATTTTCCTGGGAAAATATTGAAGAGAAAGGTAAATTATTTTGAACAAAGCGTTTTTGTTTTATAACATAAATAGAATAGTAATAGATAACTGGAAAATTCAATCATTGTATCGATGTATCGATCTTTACTGTAACAAGCTAATCTTTAACATAATCAATTTTATGGGAATTTTATGCATCAGGATCAGTCCGAAATAAACAAATAGCCTGTCAAACTCGTAAAAAGGCGTTGTTTTAGGAAATGGGCGTTCATCATTTTTTGAAAATATATCGTAATTATTTTAATTTTTTATCTGGCTGAAGTTAAGTTATCTGTTATCTCGAACAATATGATTATGATTATGATCTTTTTGCATAAGATTTGATGATCTTATAATAATTTTATCATGATCCTGATTATCTTAGTAAAATGGCGTAAATCGTTATTTTAGTTATGTTACACGACATTTATTTTCTTTTAAATTAATGTCTTTTAAATCTCATCAATTTTACTTTGGCGTCAACTCATTTTATCACGTCGTTTTTACTTCAAATAAAATATCGAGTTTGTTTTTTGTATAAAGAGAGCAAATTTCTTTTTGTTGGAGGACTTATCTGCTTTCTAAATGTTTTATAGTTTAACAACTGCAGCAGATTACATTGCTATCCAAAGTAAGAATTTTTTATTTTTTTTATAATTTGTTAACTTCCATTCAGAAAAAATTTTTCTTTCTTTATTAACGATGAAACTTTTTTATTTTTTCAAACCTATACAGTCTGGAAATCATCATCCACCGGATTTTAAACTTTCTTAATTTTCCCTATTCCATCTTTTTAATTAATATAATTTTTAAATCCATTTCCACTGTACAAAAATAATTTGCATCATAGAAATCATTTTTCCTCATTTTTTTGCATATTTTTCTTTTAAACATGTTTAATTTATTGATAAAACCGATTAGATTTGTTCGCCCTGTTTCTTTGGTTTCTTTTGCAAAACCTTTGGTCGCAACGCGTGGCCTTGCAACGGTAAAAGATCAATCATTTACTCTCAACAAAAAACCACCTCCTCCAACCGCACCCTATGCTCCCGTTTATAACAAACCAACTCCCGCAACCCTCAAATTAAAATCTGGCCAAGTTTTTTCTGGCACCTCTTTTGGAGCAAATGTTCATGTTTCTGGAGAAGCGGTGTTCACAACATCTCTGGTTGGATATCCAGAATCCATGACTGACCCATCTTATCGGGGACAAATCCTCGTCTTCACCCAACCCCTCATTGGGAATTATGGTGTTCCAGGAATCTTCAAAGATGAATATGGCTTGCTCAAATTTTTTGAATCGGACAGAATTCATTGTGAAGGAATTGTTGTTAGTGATTATGCATCTCGTTATTCACACTGGACTGCGGTTGAATCGTTGGGCGAATGGTGCACCCGTTTTGGAGTTGCTGCAATCTCCGGAGTTGACACTCGAGCAATTGTTCACATCCTAAGAGACCAGGGTTCAACCCTCTCCAAATTGTGCATCGGAGAAAATACGGATTTCTCCAAAATCCCATATTCCGATCCAAATGAACGAAATCTCGTTGCAGAAGTTAGTACTGCGGTCCCTGTTTCTTACAATCCCTTCGGGGATGTAAGAATTGGTGTAGTCGGTTTGTTTTTTTTTTTTTTTTTTTTGATTTTTCTTCATTCTTTCAATTTTCAAACATCATGATTTACGTTTTCGATTTCCTTAGATTGTGGTGTTAAAAATAACATCATTCGAGCCCTTGTAAAACGCGGAGCCGCTGTGACTGTTCTTCCGTGGAATTTTCCCATCAACAAAGTTTCGGATCAATTTGACGGCATCTTCATCAGCAATGGCCCTGGAAATCCAACAAAAGCCGTGGACACAATCAAAAACATGCGTCAAGCATTGGGCTCGTTTCAACGCCCAATTTTCGGAATTTGCATGGGCAACCTGATTTTGGGTCTTGCAGCAGGGCTTGATGTGTATAAACTCCGTTTTGGAAATCGGGGTCATAATGTTCCCGCTTTGAACATGCTCGATGGGAAGTGTCAAATCACTTCCCAAAATCATGGTTTGTCTCTCTTTTTCTTTTGACGAAGATGATTTTTTTTTTCTTCAAGATTTTAAAATTTTTTTTTTTTGGAAATAAGGTTATGCATTGCAAGATAACAATTTGCCAACTGGATGGACAAAGTATTATGTGAACGCAAACGACGGCTCAAACGAAGGAATTCGCCACAAAACGCTCCCATTCAAGAGCGTCCAATTCCATCCTGAAGCAAAAGGTGGACCTCAAGACACGGAGTTCTTGTTCGAAGAATTCCTTTCAAATGTTCGCGCTGATAAAACCCAACGTGAAGGGATCAAAACCTTTGTTCCAGAAACATTCGTTTCACAATCGCAAGTTTCCCCGTCCACCCTTCGTGATTGAGCACGCATCAACTTTTCTTCGGAGGCCTTTGCTCAAAAAAAAAATTTTCACTTTTTTGTACAACCACTTGAATTGGATGATTTTCAGATTTGAGATTAGCAATTTTTATCGGACATTTTTTTTTTCATATTTTTTGTAATTAGTTTTTCATTTTTTCATTTTTAATTTTCTTTATCATGGAACCAACAAAAAAAAAAAAAAATTATTTCGAATTTTGATTTTAATAAAGTTATAATTTTTAAAATAAATAATGTCTGATTGTAAAAATTCAAAATAAATAATGTCTGTTATATGTTAAAAATCCAAAATAAAAATCTACAAATTATTTGTTCTTTCCGTTGAGATTACATTCGAATCACAATGCAATCTTCATCAGTACCATAAGACCTTCTTGCTAGCTCAAAATCGTCCATGGAAATCATGCAATAACGTTCTGTAATCCCAGGATCACGATATATGAGACAATCAGAATTTGGGTCAAAGCCAATAAGAACAATAAAGTGTCCTGTTACCAAACATTACAAGAAGTAATTTATTAGAAATCTTTGATAAATAACTTACGAAATAAGAAAATTTTAAAAAGAAATATTTACCAGTATAATTACATCCTCTTAATTTATCCAGGATACAATCAAAACTACTGCATAAAGAAATGCAGCAGAATTGCTTAGTCTTTCCGCAGTTATTATCATATTAGTTTCATATTTATGAAATTGAATATTAAACACGAGATCATAAAGACATACCTTGCATAATTGACATTTTAAAAGACGAGAATTTACTAAAGCTATTATGGCAAATTTAGAATTAAACAAAAATCGTTTGAAATCTTCAAGAGGAAGCACCCTATTAAATGAAAAAAAGGACCATATACAATGATTTATTTTTATATATATATTGGGCTTTATAATCCTTATAAAAATAGGTTTCAAAACGCACATCTGTACAACATTAACGTTGTAATTCTTTGCTATTGGGAATAATCTATTAACCCGACGTTCATCTTCATCAAAAGCTTAATGAAAAATGAAAGAAAATTATAAATAAATTATATTTAAAAAGAATCGATTGTCACGTGCATATTGATTCAATTTTACTTGATCTATAATATTCGTTATCTCTGTATTGAGATCTGACTCCTGCATACGAGGTATAATATGTAAAGTCAAGGTCAGGTATGTAAAATCGGAATAAGAACGCCTAAAGGGAAATAATGGAAAGAAAGTTTTATTTGGGGGTTATTTGAAAGTAATTAAACAATATTCAAGAGAATATCGGAAATGATTTCGAATATCGAAACTCTTTTTCGGAGGTCGTTTTTTGGAAGGATTTTTGATATTCGAAATCATTTTCGAATATTTACTATTTATTTATTTGCAAACAAATATTCGAGTATCCTATTTTCCGAAAATATAATTCTTACCAGGTCTATTGTCCAAATACTAGAGACTGCAACTGTTTTATTGAGTTCCCGTAATTCTACTTCAACAAAACCTAAACCTCGTAAAACCATACAAACACAAGCAAGTCCGCAATCAAAGGAATCTTGCTGTAATACGTGAGGAACTTTAAATTTGGAGCTGCTTACTTGAACGATTGAATTTTCCATTTAGTTCCTCGGTAGTACATTTGGCGAAAGGTTATTTATGGAATTTTAAAGGTGTTATCGTTTCTGGAAAATAATGTTTTCATTGTATGAAATTTAAGTTGTCATACTAACTATTCATACTATGGAATATCGAATATATAAATTTAGTAACGATCATTTGATTATGATGTCAATATTAGATTGCATAAACTAAAAAAAATATATTCCTTATAGTCAACAATTGGGATCTTAACAGTTATATTAAAATTTTTTTTTTAATTTTAAATTATTAGAAAAATATTTAATACTATCATCCTACCAAAAGTATTTAATCATATGATTTTTTTATATTATTAAATTAAATTTAATAATTAATATTTATATTCAAATCTTGTTTTATTTTCTATAAATTATTAAAATCACGTTACTGATCCGATTATTTATCATTTTGCATGATTAACATATGTGTTAACTGAATCCCGACCCGATCCGACTTCACCTGACCTGTATATCATTGTGAATTCATGTTTGTTAACAGAATTTTTTCTAATGAAAATTATTTAATATAAATTATAATATAATATATTTAATGAAAATTTAGATTCGCATATTTTTGAACATACTGAACAATTTTACTTGGTTTTTAATAAGAAGTATCAACCGAGTGATTTAGACAATTTTTTGGATTTTATAACTTTCAAAATTGACATCAGTTAATCAAAGTACTTAAATTACTCTTTGAAATACTGAGGATAAAAAATTTTTAGATAATATAATTACGAAAACGTTCTTGAATCTGATTCAGAGCTCTATTAGAATTATAATTTTTTAAATAATGATACATAATTCCATGTTTTTTTAATGAATCTGATGGTGAATTTGTCTTTAAGGATATTGTTAAGGTAATATATGTAAATCATAATCTACTGATTGATCAATTTAAAATATAGAAAATATTTATTTTTAATAAAATTGTATTACATGTGATATTGATATATCTGAAAGAAATATTTCAAATTATTTAGGAAGAGATACAGCTTTTCAATCAATATTTGATGCTGGAAATGAATGGCAATTTCAGTTCATATTTATAAGCTGAAATGCGTAATGATCTTAAAGTAACACAAGAGAAAAAAGATTCAATTTTTCAAAAATTAACGGAAGCAACGGAATCTGAAGTTTATAATAACGAAGTACAGTAAGATAATTAGATATGTTACATTTTATTATAATATCTTGAAATTTTACATACTGACTTTATTTACATTATATAGTTATCTAATGAATTTAGTAATACTTCACAATTACTAAGAACAATAAATGACCATTGCAAACAACATAATTTAATATTATTTAAAAATAAAATTCACAGAAAATGATCGACCAATTAAACCCTTTAATTTTTTGAATATAAATCGCCATTTTTTTTTTTTTTTTAAAAGGTCGATCCGGTCCGATCTATAATTGTAATAGGTTTGAGATCGGTACATTCTTATGATGCGAAATTATCGAATCAAATTAACATCATCCAATAATAATTAAACAACACATAAGTGTGACAAAACTTAATATTATAAAAACTTTCATCAAATGGACGAAAAAATTTACCTTTGGTTCCCTTTTTTTTTATTTTTATTTTAACAATGATATATAAATTTCTTGTAGCTATTACTTTGATAGCGCTACATGCGCTATCGGTAAGTGAAGCTGCAGTAATGGCCATCGATTACGGAACGGATTGGTTTAAAGTCGCCCTCGTAAAGCCGGGAATACCTCTTGATATAGTGTTAAATAGAGACTCAAAGCGTAAAACCCAAGCAGCGTTGACAATACGTGGTGAAGAAAGAATTTATGGTTCTGATGCTGTAAATCTTGTAAGTGAAAATTAAAAATATGGATTATTTTTAATAAAAAATCATATAATTCTTAAAATCGTGATCATTTATTGTAAGATACAATCTATATTGCGACTTTATAGTGATCCATAGATAACGCTTGAATTGATATGAATTTAGGGTGCACGGTTTCCACTCAATACATATTTTAGTGTCAAAAAGGTTCTCGGACGATTGGTTGATGATAAGATCATAAAAGATTATCAGTCAGTATTTCCGAATAAAATAGTACCAGATCCAATTCGTGGAACAGTTGTTTTTCAACATAATGAGACTACTACTTTCTCGGTGGAAGAACTTCTTGCAATGCAATTTGCTCATGCCAAAGAGCAGGCCGAGGCGGCCGCTCAAGAAGCCATTAAAGATGTTGTAATTACGGTATTTATTGAATTTCAATGTATCACATGCTCATCCACAAAATTTCTTTAGTAAATCTCTTAAATCACGATTTTCATGCGTATTAGGTACCTCCATATTATAATCAATTCGAAAGGCAAGCAATTTTAGATGCTGCCGATCTTGCTGGTCTTCATGTTCTTACTTTGATCAATGATGTAACAGCCGGTGCGTTTTATAGCGTTCTGCTTATCTTTTTTTTCAAGCTTCCCTTTGCATTTGATGGATCATGTTAATATTTATTATACTGAATTTATAATTTAGTTGGATTGAACTACGCGATTTCTCGTTTTACTTCGTTTACGGAAGAGCCGCAATATCACATGTTTTATGATATGGGCGCTGGTAGTACTAAAGCAAGCTTGATAAGTTTCAAAACTTCAAATATAAAAGATGTGGGACGCTTCAATAAAACAATCATCAACCTTGAAGTGTTATCAGTTGGTTATGATCGAACCCTTGGCGGACAAGAATTTGATATTCGCCTTCAAAGATATTTCGCCGAAGAATTTGACAAGAAATTTAGTGGAAAATTAAAATCATCTATATTCACATCGGAACGTGCCATGACTAAACTTTATAAAGAAGCAAATAGAGTGAAACAAATTCTCAGCGCCAACACGGATGCTATTTCTTCGGTTAGTAACTAAACCGAAAAATTTTGCTTTAACTTATATCATAATCTCACATATAATATAATTTCGTTATCGCGCGTTAATTTTGCAGATAGAAAATTTACACGAAGATCTTGATTTTCGATTTCCTATTACGAGAAGTAAATTTGAAGAAATAACGGCTGATCTTAGAAAACGCGTCAGTGGCCCTATTAATAATGCGTTAAGTAACGGCAAATTAACTTTAGTAAGTATCGTAATCATCCTTATTAAATCACTTTTATTGATAATTATTTATGGGTTCCTTTCCTTTTTTTTTTAATTTTAATAGGCTGATCTTCAATCTTGCGTATTAGTTGGTGGTGGAGTTCGTGTACCATCAATTCAAGCTGAGCTTAAAAATACAGTTGGAGAGTAAGTGCTATAATTTAAAGTTTATTCTATTGTTAATGATTGTTAATTTCTAACTTATTTATGTTTTTGAACATATAAGAGAAAAAATCGCTCAAAATGTAAATGGTGATGAGGCTGCTGTGTTTGGTATGTGTTACATTTTATTTTCGGACGTTAATTGTAATTAATTATATTCTAACACCTTTTTGACGATAGGTGCTGCCTTCAGAGGAGCAGGTCTAAGCCGCCAATTTAAAGTGAAAGAAATCAAAGTTAAAGATATAACTCCTTATCCTATTGAAGTTGATTATTCTTCTGAGCCAAAAAAGTCTGAAGATGGTAGGCTTTTTATTTGACCTTTTTATATGTATAAACAAAAAATAAAACAAAAGCATTGACTTTTCTAACGTATTATGTGTTTCCTAGGCACTTCAAAATCTAAAGTATACCATACGGTGTTGTTTAATGAGTTTACTGCGGTTGGAACTCGTAAAATGATGAGTTTCCCACGTACAAGTGATTTTAATTTTTCATTAAATTATGCCAAACTAGATGACGAAATCGCGAGAGATTTTGGGCCTACAAATATTGCAATTTCTAAAATTACTGGTTTGACTGACGCTATCAAGCAATTTAATGATGTTGGTGTAGAACGCCCTAAAGTCAAAGTTACTTTGCAACTATCTGAGTCCGGTCTAGTTTCTGCTACAGATGCTATCGTGACTATTGAACAACAGTCTTTCGCAGGTACAAAATATTTAAATTTTTTAAAAGGATTATTTTATTCTTCATCTCGAGTTAAATAAATAAAATGCTTTTTTTTTGCTATTTGAATATATAGATAAATTCAAATCATTTTTTAAATCAGAAGAGTCAATTAAAGATGTTCCATTACCGGATGTGAGTTTTTCATTTTTTTTTTTTTTTACTGTGATAACTACTTTTAAATTAGAATAAACTAAAAAAATTCATCGTATATAGGAAACACCAAATTCAGTGAATGCTTCAGAATCTACACCAGAAGTAAATGCAACACAAACCAATGATACCGAACCAATACCAAAACTAACCAAAATAGAGACAAAGAATTTGAGCATTGAGATAGAATATGTTGGTATCATACCTTTGGGCGAAAATGAGAAAGTCGTATCAATTAAGCGGTAGGTGGATTTCTCATCCAAGTTATTCATTTTATTTTATTTTTTATAAATATTTTAATTCATTCTTTATTCATTAGACTACGTGCAATGGATGCATCTGATCTTCAACGACGAGTACGCGAGGAAGCAAGAAATAACTTGGAAGCTTTTGTTTATCGCGTACAGGATTTCATTGAAAATAATGAAGTAATACTTGTTAGTACGGACAATCAACGCGCTGAATTAAAATCAAAGTTGTCTGAAACATCTGATTGGTTATATGAAGAAGGCGAGAAAGCTGAGACCGAAGAGTTTAGAATGCGTCTCATGAGTCTCAAGTTAGTAGGATTTCATTATACCATGTTTAATATTTTTTTTTATTTCATTTTATTTATTTTTAAAAAAATTTAGGTTACTTGAACAACCTATTGCATTTCGACGAGAAGAGCGAGATAAACTTCCCGGAGCAATTTTTACAATCAAAACTGCTATCAACAGCACTCGTGCTTTTATTGAAGAAATCAAAACGAACTCTACAGCCGAAAATCGTTATTATACAGACGAAGAACTTAACAAATTATTAAATATAGTCGGGAAAGTTGAAGATTGGCTTAATGAAAAATTAGTTTTACAAGAAAAAACACCACCTCACTTTGATCCAATTTTGACTAGTATAGATATTGAAAATAAATTAAAAGGAATGGAACGCGAATTTTTACTTTTGGTTTCCAAAAAACCTAAGAAATCTAAAGCTAGTACAACAACTAGTACCACCACAACAACAGCGACGACAACGACTGATGAACAAACTACTATAAGTGATGCTACCGAGCCTATTAGTAAACCAACCACTACTATATCATTAGAAACTAAAACTAAAGAAACTGAGCAAACAAAATCCAAGCACGATGAATTATAATAAATTAGGCATTAATTAGTATTTTTATTATTTTTATTTTTTATTTTGAACATTATTTATTAGTAGAATATTTAGAAAATTTTGAAACAATATCATTATCAGTATTTTTCATCTCGTCATTGCTGTCATTGCTTAATGATATACATTTTAGACTATAAATAAGTAAACTTGTTCGATTTTCATTCATATAATGACTTTTATTGTGGCCACATATTTTCTTTGGCTGTGGAGTAATTTACTCGCATAGATGAAACTTGTCTACAGTGATAATTATACCACAACTTCACGGTTAAATCGCCGAAAACTTCATTACTGAACTTCAAATGAGACTTAACCGCATTTTTTTTTGCAAAAATGCGCCACTTACATTAAACCATATAATCGGTGTAATGTTAACGATCCGATCCATCCGATCTTTTTAGATCGGTCTTGTAAACCCCGATCTTAATAGCATTGCAAAAAAAAATTGCAAAAGCCGTTTATTAGCAGACATTTGTATGATTGCCACTAAAATAATTTATTAATTTTATTATTATATCAAAATCTAATCATAAATTAATAAGTTCTTTTCGTTTTTTTCCTTTTGTATAAAAAATCTATATCCTTCATTTAACAATTCCAATAAATAAATTTCACTGACTCTTATTATTACTAACCTTTGATATTAAGTTAATTCATTCCATTATCAGTTCAGGTTTACCATCATCATAAATTCTCTTCATAATCAATTTATCTTAGATTTCCACTTTCTTTTTGTACCTGTATTCACAAAAATCAAACAGTGTTACTATATAAACCATATATTAATTATAACAAAATTGGATGATATTTACTTTTCAGGTAGAATCTAAAGTTTTGTGCTACAAAGCTTTATATTTAGTGTCTACTGTGAATCTTCAAAATTTCATTTCAAATCAATGCACAAAATCTATTTAAAATTTGCCAGATATTTCAAAAGATTTCTGATAAATATGGCAAAATTTTTAAATGATGCAACATATTTCTGGTAAAATTTATACATGTCAGAATTTTATTTATATATTTTTTACATTATTTTACATATTAAATTATTTAACAATCCATTAATTCTTTTATTTCAATAATCATTTTAATAATAAATATGATTATTTTTTAATATCAATATATTTTTTTGATTATTTCAAATAGTTTATATATAACTCTTATGCAAAGGGAGGCATAATAACAGCCAATAAATTGGGCCACATAAATTTAGAGATTGCAAAAAGTAGGTTGCAATATATATATATATTGCAACCTACTTGCATTAAACTGTTACCTAGTTATGAGTAAATTGTTACCTACTTTGAGTATACTGTTACCTATTTATGTGATTTTGATGCTCTGTGGTCTTTTTATTGCTTTGTAGCTATCCGCTTGTTTTCATTGTTCTGTGGTCTTTTTGTTACCTTGTAGCTATCCGCTTGATTTTATTGCTCTGTCCTCTTTTTATTATCAAGGAACTGTTCATGTGTTTACAATGCTTTACGCTTTTTTTGTTTCTAAAGAGCTATTCGCTTGTTTTTCTGCTTTTGAGCCTGTTTGGTTGCATGTTAAGATATCGAGAATGCTTCTTTTTTGCGTCTATTTGGTTGCCCTTTAAAATATTGAAATAGTGTAAAAAAGAGGTGATGATTAGCGCAGTGAATTTGCGATACATTTTGCCCAGCTCTATGGTATAACTCTGGCTGATCTTTGGACATATGATTTGAAGATCCAGCTTGGCGTCATGATAGCATCGTGGTAGCGTTCTGCTAGTATCATAGAACTCTTCTGAAACTGTCATGGAACTGGCGGAAAGCTAGAGAGGTTTTATTGGTTTATCAGTTTTATACCAGCTTGGGTAACGAATTATTATATCCAAAGTTCTGGCTGAAGTTATGAAATAGTGCTGGCCGAAATTAAGTGAATTCATACTGCATCTTATTACGTTATAGTCACATGATATCATTCTGATGCCGGAATATCCTCACATAGTTGCTTTCCTCTCAATTGTCATTTCTTGATTGTCGGATGAGACGTGAAGTGCCGAATTTGCAATCCATCTATTTGCTAAAAATGTATTGCAATCTATTCACCCACTTTTTGATTACCAGTGAGGCACATGCAAAGTATTTAGTGTTGTGCCATTCTTGCAATCCCGTCTTTTATAGCCTGTTTGATTACCGAGGATGAAGCACGAAGTGCCAAATTGGTTCAAAATTTACATCTTTCATACTCTTTTTTCGTGTATTCTTCTGAGTCTTTTCACTTTTCTGACCTCTTTCCTGCCTATCATCAGTAGCCCCCAAAAGCATAATTTTTTATTTTCTTTCCTATATATAATTCTACCTTTGGGGCCACCAAATTTATATCCTAGCTTTCGTCCAAGCCTTCCTAGAACACTTTCCTGTATAGTCCTACTTCAGCGTACCCCAATGCCTGATTACTTTGGTCTATTATTGTATCAATTACTTTTGGGTTCTACAACTAACCCAGTATTTTGCCAGCAAGCGTATTCGCTCAAATTTACTATTTTGAAGATTTGGTATTTTCTATATAATTTTATATTAACTTCCTCCACATACCTATTATGCTACTTGCGCAAAAAAATTTTGAACCCAACCCACTTGTTTGTTCCAAACTGCTTGAATTAATTTTTAATAATCTCAAGATTAAAGATATACTATATTCCTGTCTTACTGTGAATCATTAATGGAATTTTGAAGCATTTCGAGTTATTTTAAAGCAAAAAGAAAGGAAACTTCATAAAGATCTTGATTTTATAAAATATCGGTTAGACTGAAGTAAACAAGAAATAACCCGTATTCATACAGTTCTTTATACTTCATATTATGATTGGATTACAGCAAAAGAAGAAATTGCAAATATTCATGCAGTAATCAAATACCATATAAATAACTTTACAAGAATTCTCCCCTGTCTTATTAAGTCTTCTATTTTACAAAATAAATTTCATGTACAATGGCAAAATCTTTATAAACAGATGAAAAAATTGTTAAAAGTTATCAATCTACTTGATGATATCAATAATATATAAAAAGAGCGAATATATAGATAAGATTGTTGAGCTGTATTGTCAAGTATCCTTAGCCAAAATTGCCACTTCCCGCTAAGAATACTGATAATACTTATTTTTTACTTATGCAATAGTAGTGACCAAGTTTAATTTTACTTTCCTCGATTTGTATATATCCAAATTGATTCTTCTGATCAAATTAATCCGAAGCTGGTGATCAGTTCAGAATATTTTTTTAACTCGTTGCAGAGTTCGTGAAAAAGAAAGGTTTTAGGATAAAATATGGTGATACCGATTCCCTATATCTCACTTGCCCAGATTCCTATTATAAGAAATATGATATATCTTACTCAGAAATGCCTGGATATGATTTGGGATGATCATTAGTATTTTCACAAATCTACATATTTTAAAGATAAGCTTTATTGGTATAATGGCTGAACTACGTGACCAGGTTTCCCAGTACACAGGCTTCGAACCTAACAAAATTCGTCTCCCAATCACAGAAGAGGATAGACAGGTATTTCGTAAAATAATAACAGAACAGGAGGGAATGACAGATATTGTAATAGATGACTATCTATTTTTACAACAACATGGGCATAATGGTAAGGGAGGTGAATCCATTTATATTGGATAGTTATTAGCATATACAGTAGTCCACATTAAAAAGATCTTAATAAATCTACCCAAAGATTTATCAGAAAAGGTATTAGCTCACATTGAAAAAGATTCGAAGAAGTTCCACTTGCGTCAGTACTTATACGGTACAGTATTAGTTAGCAAAGCTAACAGCCTATTAATATATTTTTCATGTGTAAATAATGGTCATTTTTTAAATTTATACCCACATATTCCATATTTTTTTCCCAACAATCCATATAATTGCAAGAAGTAGTAAGGTGAGTATGATATATATTAATATCGGTAATATTAAGGAGCTCGCAATAATAGAAGCAGTTGCTAGTAAAAATACCGCTTCTACACCTAATTGCTTGGTAACCCCTTCACTTAAAATGTACTTTTCAGAATGTGCTGGTCGACTATGAATGGATTGATTAGGTAGGGTATCAGTCTGGCTTCTCGAAACTATCTCATCCCAGGGTAATACTTCTTGCAAAGCCTCTAATATATTTTCTCTGACAAAACTTTTATCAAATTCCATAACTTTATTTTCAAGACCGAGCACATAAACGAGAGGTCTTAAATCATTACTAAGCCAACCTGGTAGCTTTTGCGTTGAATTGTTCATAAGCGGAGGTGGGGGGATAGAAAGCTCTGCTATTTCATTATCTTTTTTTGAGATTATCTCTTGAAGACGAGAATTTTCCTCCATTAAATTTAATCGAGCCGAAGACAAAGCATTTATTTCCTGTTTGAATATGTTATTTAATGACTCTATCCCTTTTTCCATACATTCCAATTCATATTTTTTTGAAGACAAATCATCCCTCGCCTGTTCTAATTCAAGTCTGAGGGAATCCATCTCAGATAAGTTCATTTGAGCTAAAGAAGAATTCTTCTCCAATGCTTTCAACTTGAATTGAAGGGCTTTTATCTCTTTTGATTTTGTAGCAAGTTAGTCCTTAAAATCTGCAAGAGAAATATCTTTGCGAGTAATCTGAAAATTACAAGAATCCATCTCTAATCGTAGTTGTGACATTTCATTTATAAGCTGATAGATGCGGTCAGAGAGTTTTCTATTATTCGTCTTAGCTTGTTCTAGATTACGATGCAATTTGGCTTTGTCTCGATCATTTCTTTTACTATAGCTTGAATACACCTCTTGCATGTCATTATATTCATTGGTAAGCTCAGTAATAAATTTGATACTGTTGCACAACATCTCCTCAAGTTCTATTTCATGAGCACTACCCAGGCGATGGCCTGAACTAATATCTTTCAGGGTATGCATATTTCTCATATTTTATGCCCAATTATGAAGCAATAAAAAAAGATAAGCATAACTAAAAATTCATTCTTTGTTTTCTTCCTATGACTATTTTGGTTGAGACTCTCGATTGAAATTTTAGTCATGGGGATTGAGAATAGTGTTTTATCGATATGAAATAATAAATATCATTTTCCATCATTTTTTATAGTTTTTTAATGTTATAAATATGATAAATATCATTTTACGTCGTTCTGTAACGCTTTATATCATTTTATATCATTTTCTATCATTTAAAAATAATAAAT